GTTGCTGCTGGAAGAGGTGTAAGTGGGGCCAGCAGGGGGCGCTCACCCCGTGGTCCACGTGGGTCCTAATGCCCCAGTATTGTGACGGGGACACTATACTGTAAAAAGGCGCCGCCTTTCAAATGAGACGTAAAACTGAGGTCCTGACTCTCTGTGGTCACTGAAGAAATCCCAGGGTGTTTCTTGAAAAGAGTAGGTGTGTAACCCCTGGTATCCTGGTCACATTTCCCATTGGCCTCCTAATAATCCCCATCCATGAATTGACTTCCTCACTTGGTTCTCCTCCCCACTAATAGCCGATGTGTGGCGAGTGTACTGGTGCACTATGGCTGCTGTCGTATCATCCAGGTGGATGCCTCACACTGGTGGTGGTGGAGGGAATCCCCATTACCTGTAAAGCGCTTTGGGTGGAGTGTCCAGAAAAGCGCCATATAAGTGAAAGCAATTATTATTATTATTAGGAATTTAACCTAGACTTAAAGTGATTTATGTGCCAAGCATCCAAGGTATTTAGATACACGTTTCAGAACGGAAGAATAAACTTTCCTATGTGAAAACGTAGGAAAATACCTTTTAAGTTGTCTGTAGTTTTCTTTAGATACTGAAGACAGTTTACTAATCAGAAAGCCATTTGGACCATCTAGTCCTTTTGGTAGTGAGTAACTAATTGAACAGAGAATCTCTTCCAGACATTTCTTGAAAAGGCCAGGGTATCGGCTTCAACTACATGGCCGGGTAGCTTGTTCCACACTCCCACCGCTCTTTGGGTAAAGAAGTGCCTCCCGTTCTCAATTTTAAATCCCTTCCTCATAAGCTATGTAAACTAAGTCCACACCATCACACAGCCCTGGGCTGTAGTGAAATTATCCCATTGTTTAAATTCACACACACGTAAAACCAACTACCAGAACTCTGTCTTCATTGAAATCAGCTGTTCAGTCTCAACTAAGATCTTTCTACTGCAAAACCTTCAAAAACATAAAATAAAATGAAAAAAAAAACCCTTAAAATGTATTTTATCTTGGAAACAGCGGGACTGTACCTTGCTAATCTTTGATTTTTTTTTCTGTTCCCAAAAGGGCATGTTTCATGAGACCCTGTGCTCCATGCCCTCATCGGGAGGCAAGGGCCCTACTCTTCAGAAGCTCTCCGGAAGGTGAGATCAAATAAATCTGGCTTTCAAATCCTACTAGTTCCTCATCAGACAACCTCAGAATTAAACCTTTACCTTCACCAACTGTCTCAAGCAAACAACACCAAGGAACCAGGTCTTCAAAACTGAGCGCATATTTCAATCAGAGGATCGTCAAAGGATCGTCTTTTAAGAGTCTTTTACGAGATTAAGTGTAAACTGAGACTTGACAGAGGTACAGTGACTCACATCCTCTAAGCACCCAAGAGCAACAACAGCCAACGAGGACCAGCCATGAATTAGCAGTCCTGGGATTTTATGGAACGAGGAAAAGTGAATTTGGATTGCTTGTTTTGTTTTCCTTATGTATGATGTGCTCCTGATCCATAATTAAAAAATCTTTATTTACAGCTTAGAGCACGTGTAGCAAGGGCCTAGCCTTCTCACAATTTCCTATCTGCTGTACTGTACAATACTATTGCTGTCCCTGTGCACTGCATGTTAATTGCACTTGTCTCACTCCATTCCTGCACCTCCTGCACTGTGCAGACCACTGTGTTGCACTATGTAGAGCAGACTATACTGTGCAGATGTCAAAACTGTTTTTGCCTCACATTCTAAGGACTTGTATTTCCTCACTGCAGGCCCTGAACAAAACCAGCCTTGGATAAATGTGCCCAGGGGATGAGAAAGATTAAAATTTCTGTGCATCTTGTACAATGTCTCAGGAATGCTTCTAAATATACAATGTGTCCTTTGGATCTGAGAGATGAAAGACCTGATAAACTAAATGGACTGCTACATGGAGAGTTAATCCTGTTACTTGATTTGCTTGTCCTGTGGGCAGCTGTGCGATGAATGACAGTGCTCAGCTGGAACTGAAGGACTGGATGTATCAGACGGGCAGGCCTGTCACATAAATGTATTTTCTCTCCCTTTAATTTCCACTGACACATACTGTACAAAAGTATGATACAGAGCTGTTTACAATACTGCTCCGTGGAGTCCAATCCGCTACTTACATAAGGTGCTGTGACAAAGAGCATAGCTCTCCCAGTTGATTAATTGCAAATTATGCAGGAATACTGTCTCCCGAGCTGCTATTATACAACAAGCCACAGAGAATTAGAATGCAGCCCAGCAGAATAGACAGTGTGTGGTCTTGCACACATCAGGCCCCAGTAGGACAAAAACTGCACAGCAGGTACAACACGAAAGTGCAAGACTCTGTTCTAACAACAGGTAGACATTAGGGAACCCAGTTTCTGGGATGTGTTCTCAAAGTGCACACTTCCATTTACAAAAATGTTACTAATGCTTTCTAAGTGATCTCTGTCCCCTAACTGAGATAAAAGCATTCAGGGCCACGTGGCTGTTCCAATGTGTTCTAGAGTCTAGAATCTAGACATTCTGTTACAATTCTTGAGTTGCACTTGCGACAAATAAACAATGTGCACAACCTTATTTCTGTTGGAAGATCTCTTGCTCGACCAACTTTAACAAATGCTCAGACATGAGAATTAATTAGCCCAGTAAAAGAGCCTGTGATCAGTTTAATATGTCAGCTAACTTTCCAATTGATCCAATTCCAGATCAGGGCAAAATAATCATTATATGAAACTTTAAGGGAAACTTAAAATGAGCTTTGTTTCATAAATTAGAAAATTAATTAATTAACAAAGCTGGCTGTCCTGTGATCAAAATTAGTTGGGAAAACCTGGAGACCCAAATAGTAATGTGAGAGGGCATTAGGACCACTCAATAATAAAGGACTCAGCAAATCTTGCTCATCTGTTTTTCAGCAGCTTAATGATCCAGGGACCCCGAGTGACTCAGCCTGCTCAACATGACTGAGCAGCTGTTCCAAACACCCACAAACTGCAGAGTGTTTGACTGCTAAAGCGATTTCATTCATTTTTCTTTCTGCATTTCTCGACCCTAGAATCGCGAACAGCCATTAATCAGCCTAGCTCATCATGACCAACCATGTATCAGCTGGAATGAGAAAAAGACAACATATACATACATATCCTCCAAAAGTTTCACCATAAGAGCTTGATATGCTGTCCACTTGGACTTTCACTGTCAGGCTGACCACCTTGACACTCACACATCAGAATGCCCACTCAGTCTCTGATGTGTCAGACTGACCACTTGGGCTCTCACTGTCAGGCTGACCACTTGGGCTCTCAAACATTAGGCCCATAGAGTTCAAAAGCAATGCCAAAACCATAGAGGGACGCCCGATGCAGCTCTCTCTGATCCTGACAGTGAGAGACCATCTCACACATCAGAATACCCACTCAGTCTCTGACGTGTCAGGCTGACCACTTGGGCTCTCACACATTAGGCCCGTAGAGTACAAAAGCAATGCCAAAACCATGGAGGGATGCCCAATGCAGCTCTCCCTGATAATGCTGCATGTTTCCAGGTTCTCAGAACAGCAAAAGGGCCTACTCTTGCTATCAAAGCTGAGGAAGCCCTGGACAACTTTAACTGTGCGTAACCTAGACAGTTCTTGCCAAATTATGTGCACCCCCAAGGGGGATTATGGTTATAAATCTAAAGTATCTCTATACTATCAGGTCTGATGTGTATTCATAGCAGGTGCCTTAACACTCAGGAGCCCCAGACCATCACTGTTCATTGAGTTTCATAAAGCATATCGTACTGCTTTCTACCTAAATCACCTCTTTAAGATCTGGGTGTAAAAATAAAAAGAGGAAAGTGTGGATTTATAAACATGGTCCACCAGCCACAGAGATGCCCTGCCCATCGGCTGGCGACACCCTCCCGCCCAAGTCCCCGCCCTGGCCCCGCCCTCACCACTGCGAGCCGAAGACTCCATAAAACACGCTGCTCCGCCAGCCCTGGCTCTGCAGCACGAACATGCTGCGCAGGATGTTGAAGTGGAAGTCGTAGTCGGGCATGGAGCAGACGAGGCGAGCCTTGAGGAAGGAGGTCCACTTCTTCTGCAGTGTCCTCAGACCACCCCAGTCACCCTGTGTGGGTAGCAGGAGACTCGTCAGCAATGAACACAACTCAACACAGCACAACACAACAGCAATCATCTAAATGGCTGTTCTCTGACCCTTTGCGTAGCAGGCACAGGGCAGTTCATGGCTACAGCACAGCACCAACTGGATTACTTTCCACTGGATTTAGTTCAGTCTTTGTAGTTCTTCCTTTCCCAATGTAAATACAACTCTGCTGTTCAACAGCTCACATTCACTCCCATCACCTCGCAAGCAGCTACCGGAAAAAAAAATGTCAGAAAGCAAGAAGTGATGTGAAGGTTGCTTCCAAAGTAACTGATGTTACACTGTCACCAGCCGAAGATAATGAAGTCGGAACGGAGCTGGAGGACGTGTTACCACTAAGCTCAGTGTTCATTTGAAACATGAAATGTCAAAACTAATACATCTGAAGGGCTGACTTTCTTGAGACACTTTCCTCTTAGCTGCCAACAGTGTAACATCAGTTACCATAAGAGTAACCTAAATTAACTGGGCCGTGAGACACACTTCCCTACATCAGCAATCAGTATTGAAAAGTGGCAATAAGGAGAATTTAAGACCAGAGTGGTTGAGGAGTGTGGAGACAGCAACCCTCCCTAAAGCAGTAAGTCTTCATATCCTGCTGAAAACAGATTGTAATTTAGGGTAAATTGCTGGTATTATGCAGCAGTGTAAAGCAGTTGACAGGACGCTGGACCAGAGGGGTCTGGGCTCCAATCCTAGCTGGAACACTACTGTTGTACTCCTGATCAAGGTACTTCATTCAAGCTGCTCCAGTATACCCTGCTGTACCAATTTGTATTCATGTCATTACCAAAATGAAATTAAAATGGAAATTTGTTCTCAGTTGACTAAACTAGTAAAACAATATATAGGAAATACAGTGCAAGAAAAATACAGCAGCCAAACAACTACCAAGTAGCAGTTCAGCTTGTAAGGTAAACTTTGTGGATATTTCTTGTACACCCCTATCCGCCACCCTGAAGTAGTAATGAACCACTGTAAACTAAAAGCTGGAAAACAAGCTGTGTGATCATTTGAGCGAGAATTATCGTGAGTCCAAATCACAACATCTCCATTTACCACCTTGCCGGCTTTTTATAACGCACAGGTGAGAGACACTCAGAATGGACCATAAGGGCTTGAAATAAATGCCCAAACGAGAAATAAAAAGCACCATTTGTACTTTTAACAGGAAATAAAAAGATGCCATGCTGTCGACAACAGGCAGTTCTCTCACTCTGTCACTTCCAGTTGGGCTGCGATACATGCAGGGACTTGCTGAGGCAATCGCACATTCGCTAACTCACAGCTACAGTTCCCCTCTTGCCTGTCTCTGTTAATGACAAATTCTAGAACAGAGGCACTTGGCAGCTATTATTAACTGTGAACATTGTCCCCATCAACCCATTTGTCCATCCATCTCCTAACCTCTTTATCCAGCACATTGCTGCAGGGGAGCTGTAGCCTCTCTTGGCAATCAACAGATACAAGGCAGGATCCATCCTGGACAGGACACCAGTCCATCGCAGCGCACACAGACACAGAGACACACATAGGCACACAGAGACGCACAGAGTCACACAGTGAGACACAGAGACACACAGACACACAGACACACAGACACAGAGGGATACAGACACACAGAGACGCACACCAGGGTCAAGTTTCCCAAAAGTCAATTAACCTAATAGCATATTTTTGGACTGTGTGAGGAAACCAGAGCACCTGGAGCAGACTCATGCAAACAAGAAGAGAACGTACTCCAAACTCCAGACAGATAGCACCCCAGCTCCAGACCTGAACCTAGCTCCCCAGGTGAATCCAAGCAGCAATGATAACCACTGCGCCACTGTGCCTCCCTGAATATTGTCCTGCAATATTATAAATAAAATTAACAGTGCACATAAAAGAGACAGTCCAATATGTCTCCATTAGCACTTGCAAATACTGGAACCTAGTGTCAGTTTGAGATCCTGCTATTCTTATTTGGAGTTTATCCTGGAATACCATTTTATCTCCAAGATTATTTTTGGAATGCTGCTAAGAGGAACATCAGGCCACTACTGTATGTGGGTCAAATCCAAGTTCAGGAGGGCTGCTGTGTCTGTGGTTTTCTTTCCAACTCAGCTCTTAATGAGCTAAACCAGCTGGTTACTGGCTTCACTGGACCAGTTTAGCAGTGTCTCCCAGCTCTATAGGTTCTGCTTCTTTAAAGAGACAAACACCTGCAGAGACAGTGACCCCATAGGACCAGGACTGGACACCCTGCAGACACACCGACCCCATAGGACCAGGACTGGACACCCTGCAGACTAAGTGACCCTGCAGGACCAGGACTGGACACCCTGCAGACACACCAATCCTGCAGGACAAGGACTGGACACCCTACAGACACATCGACCATGCAGGACCAGGACTGGACACCCTGAAGTCACACTGACCCTCCAGAACCAGGACTGGACAGCTCAGAAAATGATCAGATCTGTCAATACTTTAGATCAGATGAAGCATGCTACTGTGAATACAAAGCTTTTTGATCTGTCTGAGAAACTCACAGTGTGACTGTCTGAGATCGCTGGGAGAAAAGCTTATGGAACATAGCAATCCTGTCTGACCTGAAGTTACACACAAGCCGAGGGCAGTCTTGTGTTTGCTGCAAGACCCTGGAGTGAACTTTGCACTTGCTTGTTTCTCCATGTTTGTGGGTTGACTGTGTCAGGGTTCATCACCTATCATTCCAGCAAAGAAGGGGGAGGAGGAATCGGGAACACGACCTTTGACTCTCTGGAGAACAAACAGCAACAGGCTGTAGGAGCCTGTTAACCCCTGCTCTGCCACACTCTCTCAGACACCCTCTCCAGTGCGATCCGCCTTCTCAGCACCACTATGGCTGAGGCACTGTTCCTTATTGTTCTTGTTACATGACGTGATTCCGTTTGGGAAAAGAACTCTGAAGACACTGTTACCATATAACACACCCCTACTCCCACAGTTAAGGACATTTTCCTTTTGTAAATATCAGGAACCTTTTCCCTTGTTATTTTTTCAAAGCTCCAGTCCTGACCTAAGGTAAACATGAGCTGTCTATAAAGGTGTGCTAAGGTGATCGAAAGACCTAAGAGCATTATTACTCCACATGCGGCTTTTAAATAGTCTGCTTTAGATTAACCAACTTAAAAAATAAAGCCCAAGAAGGATTTTTTGTACCAGGAAACAGGGCAGAATTTTTTATTGCACTGATATTCAAATGCTGTGCTGTGAGTTTGAAACGGAATTAACTCATACTTATTCCTCATAGCTCAAGAGTCTCGCCTTGGCATCAGTTCAATCACTCAGTTGGAGGTGCTTTCCCTGCCTGATATACCATTTCCTTTTCCCCCACACATACGGCAGGGTCAGTGCCTCTTGAACAAGTGCAGCAAAACTGTCAAGTAACTCAAATCCACAGGCTTTTCAGTCCCACCTTAAAACTGCATGAGTCTTCACGGCCTTCCAGTCTGAATTCTGACTGAAACCGGACAATTACATTGAAATTCTGAAAACCTATTATATAAGTTTAACATGAGAAAAGTCATGTGTTTTATGCACTGATGAAGCTTTTCTTAACTGATACCGACAGCTGAATGCAACAACTTCACTGTGTGTGTTTTTTAGGATGCATTTTTATAGATGACAGTGTATTTAATGTAGCCTTTACTTATTTTTACCTTATCTTATATTCAGAGTTTAAACATAACATCATATAATGTATTGCCCAACATTTTTATTTTCTTTAGTTTTATTGAGAAATACAACCAAGTGCTGGTTACTAAAACCACAAATTTGTTGTGGCACTTTCTGTACTAATGCTGCTGCAGTTATAAACAATATTACAGAAACAATAATGTAGTTGAGTAGAGCTAAACCATAAAAAGACACTGGAATATTCTTCTACCAACTCATTATATGAGAGTAGCTAAGTCAATGCCGGGGAGGTTTTTCTGCAGGAAGAGCTACAGTGCTGCCTTGTTATCCTGACTTCATCCTTCTGTCTCCAGCAAGTGAAGCAGCTCCACTCTTTCCTGAGGCAGCGTTCATTACTATTCCAATCACACGGCTGGTTCCTCTCCAGCTGCTGTCAAATGGATCTTGCCGTTTTCTGCGGGGGAACAGCTCAGTTCAAGTGCGAACAGAAGTGCACCCTTTCATCTGACCCAGCAGACTTGGCCAAGAGCCGCATGCGTAAACGTGCCACACGACTGGCGCCGTGCTGATAGCGGGCCGCTATTTCGGCATGCCCCTGTTTTATCAAGGACTGAATATTCTTCTACCTCCATTTCATTTTGAGATACAGGAACAAAAAAAAAAAAACATTTTTCTTAAAGGTTCATTCAAGCTCCTGAACCTTGAAGAAAAACGGGTTACATCAAACTCCCAAGATGCACAGGCCAGAGTTCACGGGTAAAATCTGAGAGCAGAGCTGTTTAGGTCTTCAAGACAGGAGACCTCTTTACACACAGTGCTGTGGACTAACAAACTCCAATAGTATCGAATTCGTCCTTGACTGCCCTCCTTGTGGCACAGCAGAATTCACTGCTGCCTGGAGGAGGCGCAGTGTGGCTCAACACTGGCCGCGGGCCTGACAGGCTGATTGAATCTCTGCTGGGTCGATGTAGTCTAGGTCCCGAGGTTGCTACTGAGTGTCAAGGAGGTGGGGGAGTGGAACAGGGCTCCTCCGGTACGGGCCTCATTAGCTTAAGCCCTGGGGTCACGTGACTGACCTCTAGGTGCACCTGGCTGTGTGTTGTGTGACCTCAGGGTCTGGGAGACACCTGAAAGACAGCGAATCGAAGCGCGGCCAGGAACAAACCACACCTGCGACACAAGCAAGGTGGGTGAATGAATGTCAGCC